CTAGACAACTAGTGGAAAGCTTTTTGCACGCTTTTTTTGAGGCTTTACAACCCCAGACAGCTTTGGACTCGCTCGGCTCCTTACTTTTAGGTTCGAGCTACGAAAAAATACGAAAGCACAATCATTTCGCTTCATGCGCTCGACCGAGATGGTCAAAGGTTGAAAAAAAAAAATCCCTCTATGCTTCATGTTTCTCTTGCTCTCTCTCTCTCTCTCTCGATGCTCTCTGCTCTCTCAAATGTGTACATGTATGTATGCATGATGAGCACAAGCAGTAGCTCACAAAAATTTAAATTTCTTCGCAGCAAATACCTATGTCTTCCCTTCTGTGTGAAGAGTATACCGAACTTTTCAAACCTTTTGCCATGCGTTTTCGTTATTATTTGTGGGAAGGGTGTGAAAGCGTTGGTGCGCATAATTAAAATGTTTTCGCGACGAGCATGCACACACACACTGTCCCTTGCTACATGTCCTATGAGCATTTGTATGGCTGTGTGTGAAGCTCTGGCTGCCTGCAGCAATTTTGAAGCCCAGCATTTGCATTTGTCGATCTTGTGAAGTGTTCACATACATATGTATGTATGTATGTATATACATTTGATTATGTGTACGCATGGGATGTGCTGCTCACAATTATGGGATATCACTTGTTGAAGCATTTACATATGTATATGCCTATCTGCCTTTACATGTGCGTGTGTGTATGTGTTTGTTTGTATGCATGGGACATGAACATTGGCGTGTGCCTCCCTCAACTTAGAATGGTGTGAACGATTATGAATTCAAATTGCATAATTGCGTTTATATTTAAAAGACAAGTGCACTTCCCAATACATTTTAGAGGTATTTTTTACTTCAATAATTTTTGTGATATATAATAGAGAGCTGTATGGCCGCACTCATAACCTAGCAAAATGAGTGAGTGAGTGAGGCATACAATGTGTTGATAGGTGGGAGCTATCTCATATCTCCCTGCCTTTAAAAAGAATGAGAATAAATAAAACGTAAAGAGCAATACAACAGTTAACCATGCATGCATATATCTTCGTGTCAACACTTCGTATTTGCTCGGCTCCGTCGCTTGAGGCTCGAGCAGTGAAAAAATCTCACCCCAAGATCAGTGCGCTTCGAGCGTTCAAGCGTAAACACGCATTTTAATAAGAAGCCTGCTTGTGTGCTTATTATACCCTGAACCCATTTTCAATGGGCAATCAGGGTATAATGGTTTTGTTAAATGTATGTAACAGGCAGAAGGAGGCGTGGCAGACCCCATAAACTATATATATTCTTGATCAGGGCGACGAGCTGAGTCGATTTAGCTCTGTCCGTCTGTCCGTCCGTCCGCCTGTCCGTATGTTTGAACGCGTCGATCTCAGAAGATATAAGAGCTAGAGACTTGAGGTCCCTAGGTCCGTGAATAACACGCGCATATTGAGTTTTGCTTTAAATATCGATAACTTTCCCCGGTATTTTGTTATCGATTAAAAACCATATCGAAAACTAGTAATAAATATATATCTGCTACATCTTTAAAGCTAGAGTCTCCAAATTTTTTATGTATACTTGTAAGCATTTTATACAATTTTGATTTTCGTCAAAATTTATCCCTCTCCTCTAATTCACCCCCTCATCCTCACATTTGTAAAAGGCGTATTTCAAATACTAGGGACTTGTGCTTTGGTAAATACATGCATATCCATGTTATATTCATAATCTGAAAGTTTCATGAAGATAGTCCATACACAAGCCAACACTGCAGCCAATGCGTGTTTATGCGTGCGTACGTATGTCTGGGTGCATATGCGAATAATTATTGAAATATCAGTTGCTCGAAGGGCTCGAGCAGTCTCGACTAGAGCTTTCTTACTTGTTTTTTCTTAAACTGTCTCTTTCTATGCCCTTTCCATTTAGAGGGTATATCAAGCTCTTGAAAGGGGTTTGCCATGCTCATGCAAAACGTTAGCATTTTCATGACATTATCTTATGTATCTACAACTTAAATACAATAATGATTATAAATTTCAATATTAATTAAACATATACATATGTACATATGTATATTGTAATACAAAATTACATTGCGTTTCGTTTGCTCGTTATTTGTCGGTCGGCTATCTGGTCTGCACACACACAATTCCATTGCCCTTCGTGTTTTTCTTATTTTTATACCCTGAACCCATTGAAAATGGGAAATCAGGGTATAATGGTTTTGGGAAAAAGTATGTAACGGGCCCACAAAGTATATATATTTTTGATCAGCGCGACGAACTGAGTCGATATAACCCTGTCCGTCTGCCCGTCCGTCCGTCCGTCCGTATGAGTGCGTCGATCTCAGAAGTTACAAGAGCTAGAGAGCTGAAATTTGGCATGCATACTCGTGTGTACCATACGCAGTAAGAGTTTGCTGTATTTTTTCGATAAATCATCCGATAACTTTTTTTTCGAGAATAATCGAAAAATTTATTTTGTTTTTTCAGCCTAATTCGAACACTTTTAGATCTGGAGACTTCAAATTTGCGTTGTATCACTAACCAGAGAACACATAGACCGGACAAGTAGTGTAAAGCGTTTTGCACACTTTTTTTCGGGAGTTATCTCCCAGACACTTCGTATTTGCTCGGCTCCTCACTTTTTGTGTTCGAGCTACGAAAAAATACGAAAGCACAATCATTTCGCTTCATGCGCTCGACCGAGATGGTCAAATATTGAACAAAAGATCCCTCTGCGCTGAATGTTTCCCTTGCTCTCTCTCTCTCTCACGATGCTCTCTGCTCTCTCAAATGTGAAAGCGTTGGTGCGCATAATTAAAATGTTTTCGCGACGAGCATGCACACACACACTGTCCCTTGCTACATGTCCTATGAGCATTTGTATGGCTGTGTGTGAAGCTCTGGCTGCCTGCAGCAATTTTGAAGCCCAGCATTTGCATTTGTCGATCTTGTGAAGTGTTCACATACATATGTATGTATGTATGTATATACATTTGATTATGTGTACGCATGGGATGTGCTGCTCACAATTATGGGATATCACTTGTTGAAGCATTTACATATGTATATGCCTATCTGCCTTTACATGTGCGTGTGTGTATGTGTTTGTTTGTATGCATGGGACATGAACAATGGCGTGCGCCTCCCTCAACTTAGAATGGTGTGAACGATTTTGGGTTTTAATTAATTTAATTAAAGAGGTGCGCTTTTGTTTAAGTGCCTGATCGTGGGTTTGCCTATCAGAATGCATGTTTTTTTAAAATGTGGTACCTGATTAATCCCAATTTTTGTAAAATGGGAAATTTTGACCTATTTACGTATTCATCTTTTTAAAAAGGTGTCAACTTGACCTGCATATGTATGCACAAGTGCAAGGGTTAAAAAAACACATCCCATTTGGCCCACTGGGAATAATCAGGTACATTAAAAAAGAAATTAATGCAAATGCTGGACTGTAAAATTACTACAAGCAGCAAGAGTTACGAACACAATCCACTAATGCTCATGCTTCCAGAGACTGCAAGTGTGTGTGTGCTTGCCCGTCGCGAATTCATATTCTTTATGCGTATCAACGCTTTCATGAATGTCGCAAACGAATTTATAAGATTTCGGTATACTCTTTACTCAAAAGGAAAGAGCTGGGACCGTCGCGAAGAAATTTCAATTTTTGTGCGCTGCTGAACTTCATGATTTGAGAGCCCACAGAGAGAATGAGAGACAGAGAGGGAGAGTAAGACAAAAAACGCAAAGCGCATACATAACCATTTCGTTTGCGTGCTTAGAGCGCACTGATTTCGTCGTGCTATCTTTCATTATCCGAGCCATCCAATACCAAGCCGAGCGAATACGAAGTTGGCCGGGACCTGCTAGACAGATGTTGCTGCGTGGAAAAACGTTGCTCTACATGTCTAGTCTATGTGTTGTTTGGGAATCGCGTTTATAGTTAAGTAGATGATTTTATTTCAATGATCGATTTTTTTTTTTTAAATGTAGTACTTGATTAATCCCAGTGGGCAAATTGGAATGCGATTTTCGATCCCTTGCACCTGCACATATACAGGTGAAATTAACCTTTTTAAAAAAAAGCATATGTATGTACATACATACATATACTGGCCAATTGAACCCATTTTAAAGGGTGCATCAGTTAGATGTCATAACAAGTAAAAAAGCTGTAGTCGAGACTGCTCAACTACGAGATCCCCTGAACCCTTCGAGCAACTGATATTTGTATGTATGTATGTTTGTGAGCACAAAATCGACCAAATGCAAATGCTGGGTTTTAAAATTACTACAAGCAGCAAGAGTTACGCACACAGGCCACTAATGCTCATGTTTCCAGAGACTGCAAGAGTGTGTGTCTGTGTGCACACTCGTCGCGAAAACATTTCCATGAGTATCAACGCTTTCATACCCTTCCCACGAATAACCATACAAACGCTTACATTTTGTTTGCATGAGCGTGACAAACGCTTTTATAATTTGGTATACCCTTCACTTCAAAGGGAAAGAGCTGGGATCATCGCGAAAAAAATTCAATTTTTGTGCGCTGCTGAGTTCGGTGATTTGAGAGACCAAAGAGAGAGATAGAGTGAGAGAGAGAGTAGGACAAATAGCGCAAAGCCTTGCTTCATATTAGAATGGGAGCATTTCGTTTGAGCGCTCGCAACGAACTGACTTTGTAGTGTTGTATTTTCACTGCTCGAGCCGTAAGAGACGGAGCCGAGCAACTACGAAGGTGAGTAGTCCCTCATGCACATTTTTTCGGTGGTGAAAAAGTTTGTTCTACATGTCTCATCTATGTGTTCTTTGGTCACTGTTACCTAGTGATTGCAAAAAAAAATCATTGTTCGATTATTTAATCATATGATTTATTTTAGGCAATTTAAAGATTAATTGCAATTAACCGCGGAAAAATGGAAAAAATCGATTAATCAAATGATTTTTTTGAATGCGCTTAATTTATTTTTTATGAACTCCTTTTAGAAACAACAATAGCAACACGAACAGTAACGAATATAAATGTTTATTTATTTAAAATTGAGTTAAGAAATAGTAGTTGTGAAAGGTGCTCTGTTGTTAACCTGTTCCATTTTTCGGTTAATATGTCACCCGCCTTGGAAAAAAGACGTTCCGCTGGAACCGAAGTGAAATATTAAGAAGCAATGCCGACAAGCTATAACATATAGCGTAGGGTATACAGTACGCATCTCCTCCCAGGCGTTGACGACATTACGCTTCAATTCAAAAACAGGAGCATTTAAAAAAAGACTGAGCTCGTCTTGAATTTGAAAATGGTTACCGTCTTTCTTACTGGTTTTGTGGGCCAGTGCCTTGTGGTGGGTCCATAAATCGAACTCAACTTCGCTAGTAGATGAGCCGTCACTAGTGCTTCCTAAACTTTCATTTATATCTGAAAGCTCCGCCATTTCTTGTCGTATGCGCTTGATATTGTTAAATTTAAGTATTTTCATTATTATAGACAACTGAAAACTCATCGTATGTTTGAGTAGCATATTGGTTTTTACAATACTTCAGTTGTTTTTGGCACAATTGGCAATTCACATCCGTGTCATTTAATTTGGAAAAAAATCTCCACACTTTACTAATTGTTGGTGCCATAATTACGCTTCGCTTTCCAACTTTTGTGCGCCAATGTTGCTTATAGCGATGCGATTTTTTGAGCAAATCATCGGTTGTCTCGATTATTCAAAACCCATTTTGCGATATAATTAAATTTTGAATTGAAGCAAAATAATCGATTATTGTGAAACAAAATAATCGATTATAGTGTTACCACATAACTTGTGAGCATCGCGACCACTGCGTACATACAATCAAACGTATGTATGTGTGTGAGCAGTTCAAAAGATCTACCAAATGCAAATTCGGGGCTCTAAAATTGCTACAGGCAGCAAGAGCTTCGCACACAGGCACACAGATGCTTATACATGTAGCAAGGGTCTGTATAGTGTGTGTGCATGCTCGACACGAACACATTTTCATTATGAGCACCAACGCTATCATACCCTTCCCGCAAATAATAACGAAAACGCAAATATTTTGTAGGAGCTTGGCAAACGGCTTGAAGAGTTCGGTATACTCTTCACATAGAAGGGAAGAAACGGCTGTCTAACGCAAAGAAATTTAAATTTTTGTGAGCTACTGCTTGTGCTCACATGCATACATACATATACATATTTGAGAGTGCAGAGAGCATCGAGTGAGAGAGAGCGAGCAAGGGAAACATTAAGCATAGAGGAATGTTTTTTTCAACATTTGACCTTCTCGGTCGAGCGCATGAAGCGAAATGATTGTGCTTTCGTATATTTTCGTAACCCGAACCTAAAAGTGAGGAGCCGAGCGAATACGAAGTTGTCTGGTGTGCTAGCGCTCGAAGAAAATTGTGCAAAAATCTTTATACTACTAGTCCGGTCTATGTGTTCTATGGTTGGTGGCCTTACACACTGAGCAATAAACGCAGGATGAAAATATTCATGAGTTTGCGCTCTGGACAATAATGATCAATGCGAAACTAAAAACCATCATAGTACAGTGTATTCGTTCAACTATTCATATTTGTTTGAAGAAAAATAATATAAAAACAAATTTATATTCGTTATTTGCGTTAGAATTGTTTAATATTTTAATTTATAAAATTGGTTAACAATCTGGTATCCTGAATGCAAAACCATACTAGCACTTTTCTAAACGTTTAGGTCCGTACAACAGAACATAAGCGCAATGCCAGTCACCACCTCCAGACAGTCGTAATATCTCATCAGTGGTAACAGATGTCACATCGTCGTCGTCGAACTTATACCAAACATCACCATTTGAGCGTACCCAGGCCACATAATGACCAGATGAACTCGAGCGACCCTTATGAGTTAGCACAGCTTTAAGTGTATAATAACCAGAGTTGTTGCTGCCCAAATCATTATCAAACCAGAATGGCTCATATTTCGTTTCATCGTCTTCTCCGTCGACTTCCAAAGATTTCGATGTCTTATTTATCTGTGATTCGACATCCATTTTTTTGTCTTCGTGATCCTTAAATTTGGCTCGCATTGGGCATAGTTTGTTCTGTAAATCGGGCGTACACAGCTCAAATGCATCGAAATCAATTGGAAATTTGATATCTTTCAATACTTTTGCATTTATGCCTTCCTTTCCTTTATATTGAAATCTGACAAATTGAACGGTAAGATATGCTGGAAGTCGACTTATCAAATACTAAAAATACAAACGATTAGATTATTTTTTTTTTCTATTTTATACATGATATATATGAATATATGTTGCCTCACAGTTCTTGTATAATGTGCATCACGACCCAGCGTATTCGAGTTCTTTACCAATTGCTCTTTCATTTTCTATTAAGTAAAATATTATCATATGTAACACACAATTATGCAACAATAATTTGATTGATAATTACCGATTTGAGGCCGCTTTGCATATACTTAACTTCCATCGATATAAAACAACTGAGCTGCAAAAAATTTTCTGTTGAAACCGTAACAGGCTCATCAGGAGCTTCATCTGCAGTCATTTTGACTTCAAAAGTTCCACCAAAGAATTGTTCAATGAATGAGCTTTGAAGAAAATAATTAATTTTAAGCAATATGTCAATAAAAATATCAATATTATTTATGAAATAGCATTTAAAAGTGTCTGCGCAATAAAATAAACAATGCAATTAAAGGTTCATGTTAAATGGGATTTGGTAATTTTCTAAAGCCAACGAAACAGATACTTACTTATGAACTTTTTTATCGGTAGCTTCACCTAACTCTTGGTTTAATGGTAAAAGTTTTTGCTGTAACATTTTCAGTATTTCAGACCAACATTCATTGGCATCTTGCTGCCGATAGGTGCCATTTTCTCCAGTCTGTGCAAACTGCGGTGATGCCCTATGTAGGGCTTGCAGCAACACAATTGGTGTAATAGTTGTTCCCTTCTCCATCTGTGCAAACACTATTTTCATAGCTGATGAAATAGTAAATGCATATGAAGTGGCGTCAGAGCCATCGGGTTGAAATTTTTCCAAAGCTTTTCGTAGTTCCGGAACAGCCCTTAAACATTGTACAGTGGCATTCATGTAACATGTATTGCCGAGGTTAGTTAAACCGGCAGGTAAGCGCATCTAGAAAATTGATGTCTAGTACTTAAGACTTAATACTCTTAAATGTAAAGGGCAATACCGCGGTGGCTGCTTCTGCGTCGTTCATGTCTTCAATAAATTTAACTGGTGTTTGGGGCATTTCGGGTACTTTATCCTTAGAACCCAATAATAAGACTACGGCACCCTTTGGAATAAAAATGGTCATGGAGATATCGTTAAATACTTCATACAACTTACGTCTTTTAATTGTAAATTCCATTCATCATCTTTAAGTATGCCACCTTTACACATTATTTTTTGGCGTTCCGGTTGAACCCCCGTTAATGCAAAAAGTTGAGCTTTAAATAATATTGGGTCTTCATCAGTATTGACATCAATATCCGGATATAGTTCACGGCCCCACTTGACTTTAACTGAACAGAAAAAAGCCAATTTATAATCAATTTCAACACAAATTGTTATTTAAAAGATTTACCTTTAAAAGACGGCATTTCGGAGTTAGAAACAAATAATTTTAAAATCCCAAAGTCATGCAATTCTAGACAGAATTAGTGATGCTACTTTCGACAGTGTGAATGACTATCCACGTTGTTAACTATTTATCGATACATCGATAAGCGAGAAATATTTAATATCACTGACCAGAGAACATATAGACACTGACCAGAGAACACATAGACTAGACATGTAGTACCACTGACCAAACAACACATAGACTAGACACCAGACATGTATTGGCATTGGATGGCTCGGGTAATAAAAGATAGCACGACGAAATCAGTGCGCTCTAAGCACGCAAACGAAATGGTCATGTATGCGCTTTGCGTTTTTTGTCTTACTCTCCCTCTCTCTCTCTCATTCTCTCTGTGGGCTCTCAAATCATGAAGCTCAGCAGCGCACAAAAATTGAAATTTCTTCGCGACGGTCCCAGCTCTTTCCTTTTGAGTAAAGAGTATACCGAAATCTTAAAAAATCGTTTGCGACATTCATGCAAACAAAATGTAAGCGTTTGTATGGTTATTCGTGGGAAGGGTATGAAAGCGTTGATACGCATAAAGAATATGAATTCGCGACGGGCAAGCACACACACACTTGCAGTCTCTGGAAACATGTGTGAGCATTAGTGGATTGTGTTCGTAACTCTTGCTGCTTGTAGTAATTTTACAGTCCAGCATTTGCATTAATTTCTTTTTTAATGTACCTGATTATTCCCAGTGGGCAAAATGGGATGTGTTTTTGAACCACTTGTGCATACATATTCAGGTCAATTTGACACCTTTTTAAAAAGATGAATACGTAAATAGGTCAAAATTACCCTTTTTACAAAAATTGGGATTAATCAGGTACCACATTTTTAAAAAAACATTCAGGTACCACATTTTAAAAAAACATTCATTCTGATAGGTAAACCCACGATCATTGAATCAAAACAGGTACTTAAACATAAGCGCGCCTCTTCAATCAAAGCCCAAAATCGTTCACACCATTCTAAGTTGAGGGAGGCACACACCAATGTTCATCTCCCATGCATACATACAAACACATACACACACGCACATGTAAAGGCACACAGACATACAAGTGCTTCTACAAGTTATATCCCAAAATTGTGAGCAGCGCCTCCCATGCGTACACACAATCAAATGTATATACATACATACATACATATGTATGTGAGCACTTCACAAGATCGACCAAATGCAAATGCTGGGATTTAAAATTGCTGCAGGCAGCCAGAGCTTCGCACACAGGCATACAAATGTTCATAGTACATGCAGCATACTGTAAGTGTGTGTGTGCATGCTCGTCGCGAAAACATTTTCATTATGCGCACCAACGCTTTCATACCCTTCCCACAAATAATATCGAAAACGCATGGCAAACGGTTTGAAAAGTTCGGTATACTCTTCACACAGAAGGGAAGGCATGGGTTCTCGCTGCGAAGAAATTCCAATTTTCGTTAGCCTACTTGTGCTCACATGCAGTACATAGTACATGTAGCAAGGGACAGTGTGTGTGTGCATGCTCGTCGCGAAAACATTTTAATTATGCGCACCAACGCTTTCATATCCTTCCCACAAATAATAACGAAAACGCATGGCAAACGGTTTGAAAAGTTCGGTATACTCTTCACACATAAGAGTAGTCATGGGCTCTCGCTGCGAAGAAATTTAAATATGTGAGCGCTGCTTGTGCTCACATGCATACATACATATACATATTTGAGAGCGCAGAGAGCATCGTGAGAGAGAGAGAGCAAGGGAAACATTCAGCGCAGAGGGATCTTTTGTTCAACAGTCGACCATCTCGGTCGAGCGCATGAAGCGAAATGATTGTGCTTTCGTATATTTTCGTAGCCCGAACCCAAAAAGTGAATAGCCGAGCAAATACGAAGTGTCTGGGAGATAACTCCCGAAAAAAAGTGTGCAAAACGCTTTACACTACTTGTGCGGTCTATGTGTTCTCTGGTTAGTGATAGCACTACGAAATGAGTGCGCTCTAAGCACGCAAACGAAATGATCATTAATGCGCTTTGATTTTATTTCAA